ATTAACCTTTTTCAGTGACAGAAATGAGGGGCGTACAACCCCTTTCCAGCGGGGACTCGTGCATTGTCCAGTGTTCTGAGCATACCATGCGAGCCAGGGTCGTTACGCCCCACCCATTTAAGCAGACAATTTGAATGAATTGACGCTGATACTAGGGAAGATTGAAGCTGGAATCTCTCTTTAATCCGAGTGTAGAACTGCTAAGCAGACAGATCGGAGGTTTAATCCGTAGCACTGCTCAGTACTGGTAAGGTGGGTTAGCCGGTCAAGCGTTATTCCATTCCCAGCCGGAGGAAGAGTGTAGTACATGCCGATCTGAAACTTGGGCCGGAAAGGTGTCGGTTGATGAATACGGAAAAAACGTTGGCAAGAGATGGGGAAAACAGATCTCGGTTTCGAAGGAATACATCAGGGATTTGAGTGGATGACAGGAGTGAAAAGCGAGGACACGTCGGTTTGAAATAGATCCTCCGGTTTTCGTGAGTACACGGTCCACGGTGTGTCCTGACTCTTATCTGCGCACCAATAGCCTCACTCACCCACGGTGAGGCTGACATTTCTTTTGATCTGTCATATGGTAGCAGGATCAAAAAGTCTTCAATACAGCGAGCATGCGTTTCTACACACTCAAGTGAAACCTACATGCCCTTCAGTGTCCCGCAAGAAGGAATGAAAGTTCGTCTTTTCCCACGACATGCAAAGAATCATCACTGCAGGATTTTGAGGCGTGTTATTACCACCCAAAAGGAAAGCTCAAAAATATGAAAAAAAAAAAGTTAAAGGGCGACCATTGGATTAGGCTTATACATCTGAGAGGGAATCGAACCCGTCGGAGCGAGGACAGATGTTACTCAGTTGGTTAATACCGACCTATTTGTGAAGGGAAACGAGACGAATTTATACTGGGAAACGAAGGAGGAGTTAGATTCGGAGAGTGCAAGGTTGTCAATATATATATATCCCTAGCGCTCGTATACAAGTGCAAGTTTTCTTCGACTCGACGTATGTGCAAGTCGTCCCAAACAAAAACAAAAAAAAAAACCAAGTGATGACGAAGAGATAGTCGAGCAAGAAAAGTTATAAACACTCTGCCTAGTCGGTATGCACAGCTCTTTCCCACACTTCTAGCGCGCTGTATGAGATCGACACTAGTGGAAGGAACGTGGCTGTTAGCCAAGAAACTGAATGGAGGGAGATGACGTTACCTGGGATGCCACTGGTCCATAACTTCAGCGTTCCAAGACGTCGGACATACGCACCTCTTCCGCTTTCCTCGCCTGCCGATACATCATGGCAGAGGCGGCGGAGGTTGAGGAGATGCGAAAGGTTCAGGACGCGAAACCATGGATGGCGAGCTTTCAAGGAACAGTGAAGGATGGAGCAGCTCTCCTGTAGCAGGACGGGTAACTGCGATCATAAGAGAATCGAGAGATGGTCGAGCGTGCAGGGATGCAGTGAGTGTGATCCTGGATAATATTTGATTGCACGGGGACCATATGACGCGCACGTTGCATACATTTGCTCCGAAGACCCGTTCCTGCACTAAGAAGCGTACATCTGGCACACTTGAGCTTGATTCGGGCACGCCATGGAATGAATTCCTGCTGCATCGATTATAGGAAGTGAACAGTGCAAGACGACGTCGGGGAGGTGGACTTGGATATATGTGAATCAGGATTGTAGGGAGGGATCAATCCATCTGAGAATTTTGAAGAGACGGTGAGACATTGAGCTGGCGCGTAGCATGCAGTCGAAGACAATCACATCCTCCTCGTGTTGGGGTCCTGCCGGAAAAACCAGTCCACACAGGGCATACGAGCGTGGAGGATCGCCTGCTGCTATCAGTTAAGCGTGATGACAGGAGGGAGGAGGGCAAGAAGAATTCTGCGTGGTCGCCTGCGTGGCTGCGTGGTCATCAGCGTGGTCGTTAGCGTGGTTGACAAATTGCGGGACTTCGATCAAAAGTTGATCAAGTCCATCAAACGCGACTTGAGTCGACGCGTTCCGTTCTTTGCTGTTAGTACTTGCATAGAATCAGCTGGATTGTGAATCATGAAGGTTTAAATATGACAGCTTTAGTGTGATATTGAAATGCTTCAAAATATGGTCAATATCATGAAAATATCATTCAAACTGGATTGCTAAGTTTAAGAACATCAAAAGTATTGTAGCTGAAGTAAATAATTCTATGAGTATCCTAACAGTATAAAAAGGCCTTACAGGTGGTCTGCCAGGCTAGAAGCAATAAGGTACACAATGTGGGGTTCCCAGTTGAGCGGACATGATGAGAAGAATACGGAGTTCTATACTTGATATGAACGACACCAAAGAAACAAGTGAATTAAGGGGCAATTATACGAATGATACACTTTCTGAGGGAAAACTTATATGGGTCAGCGTGGTGCCTGCGTGGTCTGCGTGGTTGCATGGTTTGTCAGCGTGGCGGTGCGTGGTCAGCCTGCGTGGTATGGCTGCGTGGCTGCGTGGTACGCTAGCATGGTCACTTGCGTGGTCCAAGGTATATCCGTACATAAGGGAGGGCTGTTCTTGCGGAAATTAAATGATCAATTTCGTGGTATTGGCACAATCAAGGAGCAGTTGATGCGAAATCGACGTTGAATTGATGTTCATAGTGTCGTAATGTCTTCGAATTAATGACTTCAGGCTAGGAAAATGAGAGAGTACTTAAATTTCGATATTTATCCTTCTCATAATCATAGATAGACGCATAGAGGATCCAATGGAGCCTAGGAATCCGAGATTTGAGGGCATAAAAGCTTTAATTGACAAAGATTGAGCTTTGAAACATTTTTGAACAAAGGTCCATTTGTTGGAAACAGTTTACAGAAGAATAAGAAATAGACACAAGGAAATATTTAACAAAGCATTCTTATCATAGCGCAGTATATATGTACAGTCAAGGGAAGTTCAACTAAGGACTTGCGTGGCCTGCGTGGCCACGCACCACGCACGCGTGGTACCACGCAGGTGACCACGCTGAATTTCTAGTGCCCGAGGGAGGACAGCTGAGCATACCTGGGTGCCCCGGCGATCACGCGCACGCACGACTGAGAGTCTGTGTAGCTTTTGCATCATCTATTGGCGCGAGAATTTGGACTGGAACGGAAGCGAATTGGGTACGATGAAGTAGACGCCCGCATCGAGTGGCGGCCACATACACGTCAACGCTTCGTGCACCCTCCCTGGTGTGGCCAGGCTCAGGAATCAGATGCTGCTATCAATCCGGTGTGGTGAAGCGCAACGAGCAGTGCGGGGTAACAGTCTGATGCTTCCTCTCTTCGATGAATCGGATACAGGTTGCAGTAGCAGCTGCGGAAGTTTGAGCGACACCGTCGAACGCCATCCATGCAGGACTGCTCGAGCTAGTGGTTAGATACAAACGTGCACAAGGACAAAGGGAGCGGGACGACTTACGTAAATCCTCCCATCCCTCCTTCTCCCCACTTATGGGTGCGGGATGACGACTTTGGGGGGGTACACGAGACGGCGACTTCCAGCCATGGATTTGCTCCAAACGTTAAGAAGTCGTCCTTCGGCACTCTGGTCAACACCGAGCGGAACGGAGCGCACCAGGAATGAATTCCTGTTGTTGGCCAGCCTCACATATAGCGCGGTTCAACATACAAAGGGACGATGGGATGGATGGATGCTGGTGTGAGCGCTAACCAGGCTTGGATCCACCCTAGAGTGGTGGAGGGACGATCAGACGTGGTCGCGCAGGATGGAGTCGACAGCGATTCTGAAAAGACGTCCCCACAGAGGGAAGAGCGCAGTCGAGCATAGAGAATCTGCTTCTGTCAGAAAAGGGTGATGATAGGACTCGGAGGGAGGGAAACATACCTAGACGTTGCAGCCTTTTCACACACTCTGCGCACGTTGGACTGGATGACTCTGCCTCGCGTGGTGTTGCCATACGCATCAGTCTCTGGTGTGCGCTTCCGGTAAGGCAGGGATCGGTAATCGGAAGCTGCTATCGATCAGGCACACTGAGGGGCAACGAGTAGGGCAGGGTAACATACCTAGGTGCTCTGCATCCTCCTATCAACGTGCGATCCCAAGCCGAGTCGACTATATATGCCTTTAGTAGCAGCAGTCATACAAGTTTGAGAGGCATGATCGCAGTCATCCAGCCTAGTGCTCCCTTCGTCAAAGGTCTGGCCTGGAGGACGACACGAGACAGATGCAGTGACGCGCATGGTCAGAGATCACAGCACTTATCGGCATCAAGTCTGATTCCTGTCGGCGGGAGCTAAGAAGAGAGTGACATGATGACTGGTTACCTCAGCAGTTAACGCACGTCCCGCATGAGTTCGATCCTCGGTGAGAGACTATAAGCTTGGTTAGAGTAATAAATAAACACGTTTTTGTTGGACATCCCACAGGTGTAGAGGGTACACCGTCTGTCTGCGTCAAGTTTTTTGTCTGCATATCAAGATATCGTACTAGTTCTGGTGCTTAGCATCATGTTAAAAAAAGTGGCCTTGCGGCTTCATTTCAATTCGACGGGGGCCCTACTTATCTCCAGTGTCGAGCGAGGAGAGCCATCAAATCCCAGATGAGATAGACATTCCCAATCGTACAATGTGTCCGTCGTTCTCGATCAGAAAGACTACCCCGCTGAGAATTCCGGTAATCCTTCCGTAGTACATCGGGTATACCTGGTGCACACGTCGGGTCCGGGCTCGAATCCCGAAGGGACAGTGAGATGAGAACCGAGAGTTAAACTTTTTTGAGTGATAGAGAGCAGACTTGATGCGCAGGACCTGGACCTCCTTCCTCTTCTGAATTAGCTCGCTGATTTTGCCTAAGATCGAGTCCAAAGAGGATCACGTAGCGTTATAAGCATCCTAGTCCAGGAGGATAAAGCAAGACCGTAGCTCAGTGTGCAATGGCAGGAGAAAAGCGGGACGCGTCGGTTTGAAATTGATCCGGTTTCCGTTCACGTGTCTTGACTCTTAGCCGCAACCGCCACGATTTCAGCTTCTCATCCCACCGATTTTTCACTCACTGCTCCGTACTAGGAGTTGACGTCCGGCCCACACATAATCTGTACCAAACTCAATACTTCTTCTGCGCCACGCGTGTCCCTTCCGGTTCGACTTCTTTGCTCGGGCGGCATTTTATTTGGCGATTTGCTCCCGAATTTGTGCCACTGGTTCTGATGCTAGACATAACTCTGGTATCTTAAGAAATAGTACTACAATACGTCTTCATTCCACGGCCGTACTGGCGTCATTTCACCTAACTCTGCTATCATTTTTCATGTCGTCTACCACGTCCAAACACATCACACGGCTGCTGAAGAAATAGGATAGACCATCGCTCTCCGACTCGCAGACGATGGATTTGAAGTGGCCATTAATGATCTCTCGCTTGCTGAGCGGATTTTCCAGAAAGGCTACCAATCTGGCGTCGGGCCGGGAGAGTTTGGCGTTTTTGTGATGCGTTTTTGCGTTTTTCTGCGTTGGGTGCGTTTCGGATTAGACCATTATTGCAATTACCTCCCACAAAGGCATTGCTGGTCAGTCAGAACCATGTATCTGTATTGTAACTCGCACTATAAGTAAGATCCATGCTTGTGGCATCCAATCGTACCTTAGAGAATGCTCCACATGTCGTGCTGTAAGACACATTGGGACCTGGCGCCGGTAACACCACCACCACCACCACCAATCAATGGTTAAGTTGGAACGCATCTCGCATCTCAACTAAATTTTGAACACGCATCTCGCAGATCTTCACGCATGCGTTGTGAAATGAAACGCACGCGTTATTGGATACAACGCATGTGTTGGGACAAAAAACGCATGCGTTCAAAATAAGGCAGTGTCTGTGACAGTTGCGTTTGGGGGCGCGTTCAACCCAAGTTCAACCCCGCATCATGTTCTTCGGTACTTCTGGCTTAGCAAACAGCATTTGATACTGTTCTATACCGTTAGGATATCCATAAAATTGTTTGATTAAGTAGGAACATCTTTCAATGTTCTCAAATCTAAGTATTCATACTTAATGATGTTCAAGGTCAATCGGACTCGGACTCGGACATAGATAGTGGCCCACTAACCAGCGTCAAGACTACTCGGACACTCAGATTCAATGTAAGCTTCAATTCAATACATAATATCACTGACAATGATACATAAATATGTTTTAACGGCAGCGATCCAAGATCACTTTTTTCCAGAGCGCTTTGCTGGTCGTCCACTTGGTTTTGCACTAACATCCTGTACTAAGGTCTCTGTATCCTCAGGCTCTAATGTTACCTTATGCTTTCTAGATATCATCCGTGGCTCAGGTACGGGCCCACGCACTTTCTTGTCCACATTTTCTTCTTCTTCTCTTACTCGGAGCCATTTCTGCCGTTCATCTTCATCGAAATCTGGCCCAGGCTGTTCAATGTCAACAAATGTGAGGACTATGTATTATCGTACAGCAGTTAGAAGCTCACCTCAAGTTCTGATTATGTACCTTCTCGTACACCTTTATCAATTCTCTCCTCCGATTTTCCAAGGATTCCAGTTATCCTGATACATTCCAATGTCGAGGCCTTATTGGAAGTTAGGCCACAGCTGGCAAAATATAGGCCGTGCCACGCACATAAAACAAAACGACAAGAAACGGGAAAACGCACGTCTGTCACGCACGCACACGCATCGAACGCATCAACGCATTTTTTCCAACGCATGCACTATAACGCACACGCATATACATTTAACGCAAACACATGTGGATTGAACGCAAACGCAGCGAACGCACTAACGCATCGGATAAACGCAAAATTCACCGTGCCCTCTGGCATCTTCACTGAGGATGTATCGAACGAAAATGATGTCAATACTATGGCAGAGGCTGCCGTCAACACACTAGGCGGGGTTGATCATGGTATGTTATTTGTTAAGACAGGAAAATAATGAACCTCTGACGAGGAACTTGGAAAAGTCTTTCATCGGAAGGAGTATCAAATTTTGCTACTCCTCGCTCCTGGTATCAGGATTACAAAATAAATAGGCCTACAGTACTACCTTTGTTTTCCACCCATGCGTAACTCGGGGAGAAGAGACTTTTCCGTTGATTATGATACGGATACCTTTGGATGGGATGATGGTTAGCGTGCTATAATTATGATAATAACCCCCACGAAGTCTATCGCCAATTCACGGTCTATATTATCGCCGTTCCAAGCATCTGTCCTTGTCCAGCATGGTCCAATGGCAGACCTTCCGCAGCAGTTCACCTGTGGGTTCGATTCCTTAGGGTACCCATTATATACTGCGGAGACTGATTCATTTAGTTTGTAAAAAAAAACGAAACCTTAACAGGTTTTGTATTGTCAGTTCGTACGTAAAACAGTATGAAAAACCTTTCCCCCTATAGAATTGAGGTAACTTTTTCGTTTTACAGCACTCAAAATGGGGACGTAAAAATTGAAGTTGAAATCGAAACCGTTTTATGCCATCAAAAATGCAACAGCCACTTCAGTGATAACGCTATATTATTCCGGGGGAGGGGGAGGGTTTCACCCTTTTACACTGGCACATGTGCTACGTCTTAAAACCACTGCTAACATTTCTCCTGTCGCTCGCCCAGTGGCTACCTCGTTTTGCATTTAGTCAGCAGTCGGCGTGTGAGAAACAGACCAGTATCACGGTGCTTTCTCCCTAGGCACGTAAGACTAGTAAGCACTATCTCAAGCCTAGGTATTCCGAATGACCATTGCTGATCGTCTCCCCTTTAGACGTAAGAACCATTAACCCTCGAACCGGATATAACGCAAGTGGTAGCCAGATTTCGCGGGGGTTCGAGTCCTCATATCTGAATCCTCAACGTAAGCTATCGCCAAATACTTTTTGTACGACGCCACACCAGATCAGGTCATCCTAGAAAAGGTTCTATTTCCTCTTACCCTCATTTAAATTATAAAATCACACTACGGAGCTCCTAGCATGGAACGAGTTCAATTCACCGGGGTATGAATTATGTGTGCTCCGGTCTAGACATTACATTTATTTTCCTCTCGTGGAAATCATTTGCTAAAAACGCCACGGGAACATCCCAAGAAGGGCGCTAAAGCCTTCACTGCATGGTTAAATTTGGAGAGAAACTCGAGATCAAGCACGACAGATCACCCACGTATGTATTCTTCGTCCTCCCCGAATAAGTAATGAACAAAATCGTCTTATTTTTCTACACCGTGCAAATGCTACTGAGAGACGATGATAATCAGTCAAGAGGGGTGTCCAAAAAAAGAGGTTCAGAAAACAAAAAGTAAAAGACAGTGACCGGACTAAGATTGCCGGTAGGGAATCGAACCCAGGCCATTACAGATGTACTCGGTTGGTTAATACCGACCTGTCGAAAGATGTGGTTGTGAACTTGATTGAAGGGAAAGGAGACGAATCGACACTAAGAAACGATGTTCGGAAGAGAGCAGTAGGCTCGGATAACCAGAAACATTGCAAGGTCGTCGACATATATCCCTAGTGAAAGTATAGCAGGGTGACCACCACCTCCAGGCTCAGCGTATGAGCGCTACCCGTCAACGCGTCATCCCAAATGAAACAAACGATATCCCTAGGAAAAGAGAAGGACGAATACAGTATACAAAGCGAGTATGCACGGCCCTTTCCCGCCTCATGCCCACAGGTCATCTCCAGCGCGTTGTACGGGATTGCAAGTACTATCTGCATGGGGACTGAACTGTTAGCCAAGCAACTGAGTATAGAGGACGGTGGACATACCTAGGGATGCTCATCCACACTTCAGCATTCCAACGATGCTGACGGTGTGGAGGCGCCCGGCGTACATATCTTCCGCTTTTGTTGCCTGCCAGTACATGTGCTTGGAGAGACGACGCGACGGAAGTTAGAGAGTGCGAAAGCTTCAGGACGCGGAGCTATAGATGGCGGTTCTTCAAGGAAAAGTGAAAAATGACATGTCGCCTGTAGTAGGACGGGAGCTGCGATCATCGTGGAGTTAAAGGAAACTGGGGAGATACGAGTAATTCGAGCGGGCAGGGATTGAGTGTGACTCTGGAGAAGATTTGGTTACAATGACGCTTGCGTAGCTATCATGTTGTCGCTCCAACATCTATAACACGCTGCTAGCCCCACATTTGGCCCCTCTATCCCACACCGAGCACGCCACGGAATAGTTCGAGCGTGCAGGCCAAGGGGTGGAGTGAGTTAGATCCTGGAGAGGTTCGACCGCAGAGACTATATGACGCATACGTAGCATGCATTCGCTCCGGCATCCCATTCCTGCGTTAAGTGTACATCTGGCGCGCTCCTGCTTGATTCAAGCATGCCATGTAATGAATTCCTGCTGTTGTTGGTCAGCTTCGATAATAGGAAACGAACGGTGCAAGATAACATACGTAGAAAGGACGGGGTGGATATATGCTAGTGATGTGGACGCAAATGACGATTGTAGCAGAGGTGTATTCATCCGAGAAGGTTGAAGGAAGGGTCGGTTCCTTGAACGCTGGGTTAGCGCAGGTAACCGAGTGTAGAGGATCGTCTGCTGCTATGAGTTAAGGGTGATTATGGGAGGAATGACAACATACCTAGGCGCTCTGAGTAACCTTCTCACGCCCTCGATATCATCCATCGGCACAAGAATTTGGACGTTAACGGAAGCGAATTGCGCACGACGATGGAGTCAACGCCTGCATCGAGTGGCGGCCCCACACACATCAGCCCCTCGTGTACTGTTCCTGGTATGGCCAGGCTCGTGAATCAGATACTGCTATCAGTCAGGTGTGTTGAAGGACAACGAGCAGTTCCACTGCTAGGTAACAGTCTGATGCTGCCTCCCTTCGATGAATCCGACGCAGTAGCAGTCGCCGAAGTTTGAGGGGCTTGATCAAGGACCGGAATGTTTGTGTTTCCTGCTGCTGTTACTGAGCGTGAATTGTAGGAAACGAGCAGTGCGAGACGACGTACGTAAGAAAGACGGGATGGATATATGCTAGTGATCTTGATGGAGAAGTGTAGATGAGATGAATCCATTCGAGAATTTTGAAAAGACGGCCGGACATTGAGCGGGCGCGTAGCGATTTACACGGAATGGAGTGTACGGCGAACCCATAATCGAGGACAGAGGATCGCCTACTGCTATCAGTCAAGCGTGATGATGAGAGAAAGGGTAACAGGCCTATGATCGTGCACGTAGCCCTCTCACACACTTGACATCCTCCACTGGCGCAGGAATTTGGCCTTGAAAGGAAGCCAATTGCGCACGATGGAGTCGACGCCTGCATCGGGTGGTGGCCCCACATACGTCAGCCCCTCGTGCACCCTTCCTGGAGTAGCCGGGCTGGGGAATCAGATGCTTCAATCAGCCAGGTGTGCTGAAGGGCGACGAGCAGTGCGGGGTAACGGCCTGATGCTGCCTCCCTTCATTGAATCGGATGCAGTGCTGCAGTAGCAGTTTTGGAAGTTCAAGGGTATCGAACGCCATCCATGCAGGACTTCCCGAGCTAGTGGATAGATGTAGACGTGCACAAGGACTAAGTGAGCGCAACGACTTACGTAAATCCCTCCCTCCCTTATTCTCCCCGTGTGGGTGCGGGGTGTTGGCTTTGGAGAGCTCACGAGGTGGTGACTTCCAGCCACGGATTCACTCCAAACGTTGCAATTCACACGTTAAGAAGCACCTATCTGCCCTCTACCCAACACCGAGCAGGGCCGAGCACGCCATGGGATGAGTTGTTGACCGGCCTCAGATGTCGACACACATAGGAACGACGTGGGGTGGATGTATGCTGGTGATCGGTGGTGGGAGCGCGAACCAGGGTTGAATCCATCCAAGAATATTGGCGGTCAGAGGTCAGACGTGCGGTCGCGCAGGACAGAGTCGACGGTGATTCGGAAAGCATGTCACTACGGGGGACACAGCATAGTCGAGCATAGAGAATCTGCTTCTATCAGAAAAGGGTGATGACGGGAGGGAGAACAACATACCTAGATGCTGTAGCCCTCACACACACTCAGCATCCTCTCTGTGCACGATGGACTCGACCATGCCTCGCGTGGTGGACCCATATGCGTCAGCCTCTCATGCGTGCTTCCTGGTGTGGACGGAGTCGGTATTCGGATGCTGCTATCGATCAGGCATCCTGAAGGGCAACGCGCGGGGCGGGGTAGCATACCTAGGTAGTACTCTCCCTTCGCCGGTGCCTGCAGTTGATCGGGGATATCACACCCTACCCTCCCTTCCTCCCCGTCCGGCCCTGGAGGACGCGCCAGACGGGCGCCCCAACACGCGCAGTCAGAGATCGCGAGGCTTGTCCGTGTTCCTGAGGTCGCGTTTACAGCACTTCAGCTTCATGGTGGGAGCTAAGAAGAACGTCTGTGAGAGTGATGTGACGATCTGTCACCTCGGCAGTTAATGCACATGCATCGGTTCGATCCTCGGTGAGTTGTGAGTAATAAATGAATGCATTTCGTTGACGTGTTAGTGTAGTGGGTACATCGTCTGTATCAAAGTGGATTCGACTCCTAGCAAGACCATGTATGAGATTGTAATGTTGGATAATATCATCTTTTGTGACGGTAGTAGGCCAACGGGGGTTCTATAAATGTTTGGTATCCCAAGACATCGTGCGACGTGCGTTCTTCGTGAGCTCCTAGTAAGAGATTAATACTGCGGTCTTGTTCTTGAATTTAAATTTGGCTGACGGCTCTATTTTCGTCGTCCGAGTCGTGGGTATACCAAAGTTCCCCCCAGGGTTGTCGAGCCACGAATCCAATCCAAGATGAGATAGGATGCTCCCAATCGTACGACGCGTCTTTCTTTCTT